GTAGGGAAATCCTTTTGCTTTTTGGAAAAGGAGAATGGGAGCCCTACTTGTCTTACAATAATTTGTTTCTGAGTGGTTTTACAGTACAATTTGTGGTTTTTCTGACAGTAAATCTAAACACTCTAGTAGTGTTCATTTGCTGCTGATGAAACCTGGAGTAGCTTGTGAGTAGCTACTGCATCAGAAGGTAAGAGAGAAGGATGCAAGGAGTTTCTATTCATGAAATAAATGGAATTGCCTTTAGATCTTCCAGAATATTCTCAGATATTAAGTCTTTTCTAGCAGACAAGAGGGATACATCAGCTGCTGCGGTACATAGCTCCCTGACAGACAAAGCAGGGAAGTGTTACATCCACAAAGTGTCAAGCTAGCAGCTCTCAGTGTTCTTAACTCCTTGGAGCAATATCAATGATAAGGAGCATGATTTGACTTGTGAATTCTGTTTCTAGCCTTTAGATTGTGATTTTGTTTGTGTATGCACGTGCGTGTGTATGTGCATCTATGGGACTGAGAGATGATTGTAACAGAAACGTATGTTAAAGACATGAGCAGTTTGATGGCTAAGCTCATCTGTAAGGAAGCTTATACCTTCCTGTCCTCTATATTTCTTCACTCAGTGGGATATATTTTATTAATTTTAAACAAAAGCACTTGGCACCAAGCAAGGCAACCAAGGGATAATAAAACCGAAATGGCTGAAAACTTATGGAGGAAAGTTTCTGCAATGTTGGCCAAGCTGTGCTCTTGAAAGAGCGTGTACCACTGATGTGACAGTCTGAGGAGAGCTTCTGAGGGTGGGACTCATTCCTGTGTTGAAATCAGTGATCTGAGAGAGGGAAACCAGACATCACAGTGTAAACAGAGTACTGCAGGTTAGCAAGGCTTTCTTGAACAAATGTACACTAACTTTTTCTACTTACATAAATGATCGGGTCCTTTCAGCACAAGACGAACTTGCCTGCTTCCATAAGGAATGGTGACCACTGTATCATCCACTGTGAGAAGGCAAAAATGCATAGAGTAAATAACAAAAGAAATTCCCATGTTTTCAAATAAGCAGTGAAATAGGTGCTTACAAGGCAGTCAAGAGAAAAGCTTTTGGACCAATTGAACAGCACTGTGAATTATGAGATGACATTATAAATACGAAAAAAAAACAAAAAAGAACTTGTTAAATGGGATAAGAACCTTCTAATTAGAAGAACTCAAGCCTGTTGATTGTCTTTATACTCAGCTCCTTCACAACCATTTCTGGATTTCAAGAATAACTGATAGTTTTCTTTTCCACTTGACTCCACTTAAACCTTTTCGAAGCTTTATTTGAAGTGGTGTTGTGGTGTAGTAGAGAAGCATAAGCCTGTACTGATGTTTAACCAGAGGTGCCCATTCCTCCATGTGACTCTTTCTTGGTTGAACCCTACAGCTTCTCCATGATCCTGCCCATGCTATGTGATGATCTTCCACTACCCTCAGGCATGCCTTCCCTTTCATACCTTTTATTGTAGTGACTCAGGTGCTATAATTCTTCTTCCTTTTCCACAGCACTAAAAGAAAGTCTCTGGAAAAACAGAAGCCCATTAGACTGTCACGTAAATGTGTCTTAGAGCAGGACCTTGCACCTTGGGAAGCTTTTGGGAACTTTGTCAAGTGGATTTAAACTGAAGTGTGAATTAGCATGTAGGTCACATGCTGTGGAAGTTAGTTAGGTCAGCATTTCTAAAGACGCAGCAACCTCAGTAATATCCTGAAGGGATACAGGAAGGAAAGGTGTGGAAAGATGCTGAAAAATGCTCTCAACTCTATGCCTGAGTTGTGGTGTGGGAGCCTGCAGAATGTTGACCTGGCCTAATCAGCATGCCTATGTTCTTTATTCATTTCCCCTATCCTTTCTGCCTCCTTCTTCTGTAACGAGAAGTTGGAAAATAACAAGTATGCATGTTTAACAGGATTTTTTAGGGGAGAGGTAGTAGAAACGGGAGTCACGAACTGCCTGTTCACTAGAACTACTCATATCTGTGTCATGTAATGCCTGCTAGCAAGAGCTATATCTCTGCTCTTAAAGCAATGTGTGGCTTTGTCAGGTAAGGCTAACTCAGCCAATGAAAGAATAATATCTTCCATCTAAACATATGAGCTGGGACCATAAGTTTCTGACCAGGCCATGCTGGGAAAACTGTTCCAGCCTAGCTAAATCAGAAATCTTATTAGCCAGCAAAATATTTATTAATGTTGTCATTTTATGTCAAAAAAAAAACTGAACAGAAGGAACAGAGAGAGAGAAATCTACAAGAAATAGTGACCTCTTTTAAACAACACGTTCATTCATCCAAATATACACTATCTCAGAAATGTGAACAAGAACACTTTAAAATTTTAAATTCAGACATGTGGCACAGGAATTTCTGACATTTTTGTACTGGAAAGATTTATGGGATGAAATATCCATACTGTTGTGGTCTCTCAATATCCCATAAGTGAGGGGGAAAAGGTAGGCAGCTTGACAAACCTCTGAGTGTTGCAAGAGTTATGTGGAGATAAAGCCTGCTCATGTGGACACACTCTTCTGAATCTTGTCTCCATTTTCAAAATCTGATTTGATATGTTTCCTGAACCTATCCAGACATTTCAATGTCTCCTAAGACTTCCGTAACACTGGTGTTAAACTCTATTAAAAACACATTCTGCTCATACACATCTCTGGTACCACACTAACTAGCAAAGATAGGTATCTTTAATTTCTACATAGAATTCAGTTTTTCTATTTGAAAAGACAAGCATTCAAGTCTTACAAAATTCATTCAATATTGATATTCTAATGTTTGTTTCATTGGTACCATTCTGTCACTCATATTCAAGGTACTCAGTAGGATAAAAATTTTTTCCTATTTTTTGAGAACAAAATCTGTGAGTATGACATATTTTGCTGTATATATATCACATTTATTGGAATGAGTCTGGGAAAACAATAACTTCAATTTTTCAGAAAATTTTAGTGCTCTTTTAAAAAATCTTTTTTAAAGACTGTTCCATGTCATTATGTTATTTCACTGTCTCTCAGTTATGAGCTCTGTGAGTTAATAGCTCACTAATATGTCACAGAAGAATTAGACACTTTAAAGATGATGGAAACTTATACATCATCTATTCTTAGGATGTTTCTTCTGCCCCAGGGTATTGCTAGGACTGTATTTCACCTGATCTTGTCATTGCTCTCCGTTTGAAATCCTAGCATGCTTTATATGAAACGCAAAGCTCAGTGGGATTTATGCTTATCACAGTGCTTCCTGCTTTCAGAAAGCAGAAGCAGTAGGGACTAAAGGATAATTTACTGAGGTAACAGAGATAAGGAGACGTTTCCTGTGAAGAGACATGTGAAAGTAAGCACGGTAGTATTTAGTCACAGCTCCCTCCAGCCATAAGTGGGGAAGCAGATTGTGGAGCAGCTGTGTAGCACTCTGAAGAAAAGGCACAAAGTGTGTTAATGAGGGGTTGGTTTCACCCAGAGAAGATGCACAGGGAGGCAAGGAGGATTCTTAGATAACTGAGAGGACAGTAGCCCAGGGCTATGAAGAAAGTGCAAGGATTTAGGCAAAGGCCTAAATGTATGGCATGTACATACACTAGATTCTATTGAGAGATCAGTTTCTTCTGGTTTTGGTTTGAATTTGGATTTTGTCCAAATGGGCAGTTGTCACAATGAAAATGGAGTTGTTTCTATTTCCCTATTAATATTGATATTCAAAGGAAATCTGGAGCTACTACCTATTTTTTGGCAACCGTAGCAAGAGTAATAAGGATAAATGTTCCATCTCAGCACAGAAACTTCTACAATCCTCTTTTAAAAGCAATTTACTTCACTAGCAGATATCAATACTTTTTTAGAGAAATGCTAGATGTGCACGAGGGGATCAGCAGAATTCATCCACCACTTCTGAAATCAAATCCCTAGCTCCTTTGTGAATAGAAAGAAGCTTGCTTAAATACAGCTCATCTCCAGAAAAAGCTATACACAC